GAAATTTAGTAAGGAAATCAACCATTCCGCCCACTTATTTGATTAAGTTGAAGGTGAAGGGAAAGGACAGGAGATAACGAAAGGACTTGGTTTATAGCCGAAAAGAAAAAGGACTTCAATGTTTAGAGGGCTTCAGTTACTGTAACAGTTAGGCCGCTTAATCTTTTGGGCTTGATTTTTTTGGCCCGTTTTGCTTATATTGTTTGTGGCTTAAAAGAGAAATGACTTTTATATATGAATTCTTATTCTGTAATTTAGATTGTTTTGTCCTTCAAATTATAAAATAAAAATCATTAGATGGGGAGAGAATCTCAAATGTCAAGAGGCTTGTCCCCATTCAATAGTTTTAGTGGTGTAATTTGATACAATTCAGATTCTATAATACTTTTTTATTTATATATTTTGTAAAAAAAAAAATTATTTTGAATTCTAAACTATTTTAGTATGCAGAACACTAACCATTAGATCAGCGAGACTTCCTAATTTCAGGTGCAATGCAAGCCTTTCTAATTTGATAGTTGTGTTTTATTGTTCGGTATTAACTTGACTTAAAATGTTAATAGACTTGAAATAAAAAGGAAAGTGTGAAGACAAAAGAGGTGGAAAGCATTAGATGGTCTGATATTGATATAGAATTCACCTCAAAATTCCTTCGATCTGCTTTTATTATATCACAACCAAAACTAGGAACCATTTACAAAATAAAAACACCATAACAAGTAAATTAAGATATCCAAGCAACACTGCTTTGTCCTTCACCCTCAGGTGGAACCAATTGCTTGAAACCATCTTTGCTTGTGGTGTGACATTGAGTTTTATCATGGTTGCTGTTGTGACTATGATTTTGATTATGAATTTTGTAACGTAACCTGCACTAAAATTGCTCCATGTTGAATTAGTTAAACATGATTTTCTCTTAGAAACAAAAAGGGCATTTAGTTTAATGTCCTCGAGATCTTTTTAACCCATTTCAATAGCAATTCTTTATGTTGCATCAATATGTAATTAGTATTCAACAAAAGATAGACACATGTTGATGAGAATTGAGCACCTAACTAGCCATGGTATTGCACCTAGTGCAAAGAAATTGATAGAGATAATGATAAGAAACTTAGGTTGAGGGTGATGGTTAATCAAGCAATATGAGCATGGAAGATTATTATTGCTTCGGTGGCTTCAAGACTCAAATAGGGCAAGAATTGGCTAGATTTGCAAATCAAAATGCCATTGCTTCCTTTATAAATGATTTATGTGAATGTTTCATATTGAGTGGTCTAAATATTTTGTCATAAACTCATACTATTTGAAAGACATATTCCTCAATCAAGTATTATAAGAACTCTATGACTGAAAAATGTGTGTAAGAGTATTCAAAAGTTAAAATTATCTAGTTGTAAAATGCATACTTCAGTACTTGAAGGATACTCTTCACTTTGGACTTTAGCTCAAAGGATTCCATCTTCTTCTCTTCATGTTTTCACTGATGTAGATTGGGCATGATGTTTGAATGTGTATCGTTCCACCTCTGGGTTTTATTTATTCTTTGGTAATTCTCTCATTTCGTGGTCTTCTAAAAAGCAATTCACAATTTTCCAGTCTAGTACAGAGTTTGAGTATCGTGCCATTACAAATGCAGTTGCAGAAGCTACTTAGGAGAGGCAGTTGCTTTCTGAGTTATGTGATCAGGTTCCTGCTCCGACATTTATTGTAATGGTAATAGTAGTGCTTTATACATGACTTTGAATCTCATTCAACATCAGCGTACAAAACCTGCTTTAAATGCAAAATGGCGTTCTTGGATCAAGGAATGCTTGAGATCAGCGTCCATCTCTGTGTTAATCAATGGTTGCCCTTCTCGACAGTTTGGAATGACAAAAGGATTGAGACAAGGTGACCCCCTGTCCCCTCTTCTATTCTTAATTGTGGCTGAAGGCTTGAATGGATTAATCTCAGAAGCAGTTAAGCAAGGACTTTTTGAAGGTGTTAAAATTGGAAATGGAGAGCTTAAACTCGCTCACTTGCAATTTGCTGATGATACTTTGATAATGGGTAAAGCAACAAAGGAAAATATCTGGGTTGTGAAATGTATTATGAGGTGCTTTGAATTGGTGTCGGGACTGAAGATTAATTATGCAAAAAGTCAGTTGATGAGCACAAATGTTGAGAAGGAATGGACAACAGAAATGGCATACTTGCTTAATTGCAAGATAGGTAAGATTCCGTTCAAATATCTTGGCACTCATGTGGGAGGAAATTCAAGGAGTATCTCACACTGGAAGGGTCTTGTTGAAACTTTTGAAAAGAAGCTGTCTGGATGGAAAGGCCGATACTTGTCTATGGGAGGTCGGATTACTCTTGTTAACTCTGTGCTGTCCTCACTGCCCGTGTTCCAAATGTCGACTCATCTTCTCCCAAAAGGTACGTTGTTTATTATCGATTCCATTCGAAGAAGATTTTTATGGGGTAGTTGTGAGAATAACAAAAAGATTAATTGGGTTAAATGGGAAAAGGTGTGTAAAGGGAAGGAAGAGGGAGGCTTAGGGATTAAGGATCTTAGGTGCTTCAATATTGCTCTTTTGGGAAAATGGTGGGTTAAATTATCTCAAGACTCAAGTTCCTTGTGGGCTAGAGTGATTGGTGAAAAGTACGGAAGAAAGGCAAGAAATTGGATTAGTATGTTGGAGGAAAGAAAGGGAAGAGGCTCTGTTTGGTGGCAGAATATTAGGAAGCTAAATAGCGTGGTGGTAGGAAAGGAGGGGTGGTTGTTAGACAATGTAAAGTTGGAATTAGGAGAGGGGAAGAGGGTCAGTTTTTGGCATGACAACTGGCTAGGGGTAGGAGTTTTATCTAACATATATCCAAGATTATTTCTTCTCTCAACAGGTCAACAAAATATGGTTAACCAAATGGGCACATGGTTTGATGGTCATTGGAAGTGGGACTTAAAATGGAGGCGTAATCTCAGAGAATGGGAGGAGAAACTAGAATCAGACTTGCTTGGTGATATTTCCTCAGCCCAATGTAGACAAGGGATCGAAGACAAATGGGACTGGAAGTTGGACAACAACCATGGATACTCTGCTAGTTCGGCTTACAGACTCTTGAAAGCCTCAAACCATGGAGCTGATGCAGAAATCTTTATGAAAGTTTGGAATCCACTGACCCCAAGTAAAGTTAATGCTATGGTGTGGCAATTAATCCAAAATAAATTACCAACTAAATTTGAGCTGTTTAAGAGGGGGGTCCTGAATAGCTACAACATGACTACATGCTCCCTATGTAAAGAGGA